TTTTCATCTTTTTTACGTATGTAGGTTCTCTTCGTCTTCTATTCTCTCTTCATCTTCTATACGCTAATAAATTGTTCTTCTTTTACATCTATAAGTACCTTTTTCATAATTCTCTCTGTTCTTCCTTTCTTTCTTTTTCTCTTTATTAACGGTGAATCATTCTTTCTTTCTTTTTTTTCTTTTTCTCTTTATTAACAGTGAATCATCCTACTAATTTATTCTTTTTTCTCTTCTTACTTGTGTTTGGTTCATGCAGGTGTGGACTATTTGGTTAACAAACCATATAAACTCAAGATTCAATTTTAGTTTGTGATAAAAAATGAAGAAAGTTTGAATGTCAGACCTATAAATTAAAATTTAAACATAATAATAAATTATTTTAATTTGTAACAGATCTAGAAAACTCAAAAAGAAATAAATTTCAAATTCGCAGTTCTGCGTGGAACTGCTTTCTAATCTTAATATTTTAGAGTGGTTTAAACAACCGCTCTTTTAAATGTAACACATTGGATAGCACAATATTTTGGAACAGTTCTAAAGCTTTTTAATTTAAAATAGAACCGCTCTTACAATTCCTTTTTGACATAGTGTTTGTAAATTAGTCAAACTCTAGCCTCTATTGAAGTTTATGTAGAAGAAGAAAAAGAATGAAGATAGTAGAATTAGAGGTAGAGACAAAAGAGAGAGTGTGGATGTGGGTGTAAGTGTGGGTAAATCGCAAAATCAAGATTCAAATCAAAAGTGTATTACAAATTTATAAAAATATTTTTGAGTCAGATTTGTGAGTTAGTATCTATATGTAAACTTTTGTAAGTTAGTCCCTACATATAAAAAATTTATAAATTAGTTCTCATATTACATTTATTCTTAATTTATTCTCTTACTTATTTAACGTCGTTTATTCTAAACTTAATGATAGAGATTAAATAAAAAATAAATATACCTATTAAAAATAATTTATAACTTTTTTACATGTAGAAACTAACTACAAATTTAAATCAAATATAGGGATTAAAACATTATTTAAACTTAATTATGTGTCTACGTAATAACCCAAATACCCTTTCTTTTCAATTACATCCTAAAAACAAGACATTTTATGCAAATGGTTTCCTCTATCAACATTGGAGGTGATCATTTGGCATGGCTATTAAAGTTATAAAAATAATAAGAAAACAATTGACTCGTAAATTACTTTTAAATAATTTATTATTTAAGTATTTATTTAATAATTTTTTTAAATAATATTATAATTTAATGATAAAATGTATTGAATTAAACTAAATACAACTTATTTTAATAAGCTATATATTAAAATAAACCAAAAATAACTTATGATAATTATTAATTATTTTTCATAACTGTTCATAAATTTTTTCATTCAGCTCTAGGTAATAAAAAAAATATAAGTAAGGAATTGGACTTAACTGTTAACTCATAATCTCATATTTTACTTTAGACAATCAAATATCTCTTTAACACAATTTTCAACCTTCAAAGAGCATATTTACTATATTCAACTAATTTCAATTTCTTAATATCTAACTCATTTCTTTCGTCTTAAAATTATTTTTTTTAAAATTTCTTAATTAAAATAAGCATTAAATTCAATAATTTATAAAACATGTTTAATTATTAATTTTTATCACTAAAACATTAACTAATATGATAAATTACACTAAAATCTAATCAATTAACTAAATTTCTAATCATAAAAGTAAGTCTAATATCAATAAGCAGAACAATGTATAAAAACATTAAAATTAGAAATGAACATTTAATTGAAATAAAAAATTTGAATTAACATGTAAGAATACAATTTACAAGAAATTTAAATTGGATACATCATTCTCTAACCTAAATAATTAATTACATATGGTAAAAGAAAAGAAAAAATAAAAAAAGAAAATACTTTATTAGGATTTGATGAATTTGCTACTTAATTTCTTAAAATTAAACCTTGATACTTTAGAGAGGGAGAGAGAATTCTAAAAAAAAATAAAAAATCATAACTTCAACTATGAAAATTGTCTAAATTTTAGTAAGCTTACCATTTATAGCTTCTACATATTATGTTGGTATTAATAACATTGTTGGTTGAGGAAAAAGAATTTTTTTTCTTTAAGTTACAAAGGTTTTTACTAAACTTTTGTGATAGGAAATAAACTATGTCTTTTTGAGGAAAAACACACTCTAAAGATTGATGATATGGATACATCTCTCGACTAAAATCAAAGAGAACCCTAGGTTTCTATACCCTGACGAGTCATGAACTAATAAAAAAAGTTAAAACTTAAAATATTGTCAAAAGAACTTCTATTCAACACGTTTTTATGAGAACGGTGAGGAGAGCCTCATTTTTTATTTTTTTTTTAAAAGAAGGCTATATTTTGAGGAGTTTTGATGGGTCATAAGAAGAGTCTTGATAACACTTAATTTTTTCTACATGTACCAAATATTATAGAAAGTATAATTTTTTGAAATTTAATACCTAATATCAATTCATGTTAACTCAAAACAAATATGTAGTAGGCTTATGATTTTCATTTCCTTTTTTTTTTTTTTGGCTATATGATTTTCATTTCCTTTAAACATATTTTTTGTTGAATTTCAAATTTAATTTAATTTAAAATTTAAGTCTTGATATACACTATATAAAATTAAAGACATGATTCCTTTTTAGATAAAATAAATTTTCAAATTATTATTAAGGATGTAAACAAGGCGCGTATACTTTTTTAATATTATATATATAATTAAAAAAACAAAACATTTAAATAAAACAAATAGTACAATATTTTTTTAAAAAATAATAACCAATTTAAGAACATATTAAAGTTATGAACAAAGTTACGAATATGTTCACTTGAATATACATATGAATATTTTAATAGCTTTAATGTATACGTGTACCTTAATGCTCGTACCAGTTTCATTAATAAGTAGACAAAAAGAAATTTATTTATTAAACATGCAGATATTATGGGTACATCATTTTTATCCATAGCAGATATTAACTCGCATGTGTGAATAATTTTTCCATAATTAATGTAGTAATCTTAATCAATCTTTTTTTTTTAATTTTTAATTTAAACACGCCATACTATAAAGATTGAAAAAGATTTTGTTAATTTCAATTCATCATATTTTTAAAAAAATTTAGAAATTATTGCTTAATTTATTTTATTTAATGTAATAAAATATTAAAGAAATGAAGCTAACCATGCAAATAATAATAATAATAATAATAAGCAGAAGAATTTGTGTTTTTATTTGTTTTTTATCTAGAGCAGCGACGAAGTCCTAATCAGAAAAGGTCCAGCAACGCATTTCATTCTACTCTCTTCCTGCTATTTTTCACAAGATATTTAATTAAACAATACAAATTATTAAAGTAAATTATCTTTTTAATTTTTTTAAAATTACTTAAAATTTTGAAAAAGTTAAAAAGGTGTTTGAAAAATAAATATTGGGATTGGTTAATCGCTAGCACCGCCACATGCCCTCGCTAATTGCTCAGTCACCTCCAAATAACAACACGTCCACTTCTTGGCCACCACCTACCCATTTCTACGTGTCTCCCAAAGCGTTTCACTTTCCACCCCAAAATCTTCATTCAAATTTTGGAAAGTAAAATTTAAAATATAAATTTGAGTTTATTTTTATCCCATTTAAATTATCACCGTTTTTCATCAAAAGGGATAAAATACAAAATTGAAATATTGTTTTTATTCTTAACTAAGTCATAACTGTTTTATCAAGAAGGAGAAAAACAGTAACATGGACAAGAATGAGGATCTTACGTCTAAAACTGAATTGAACCGCGTGCCCTAATACAACATCGACAATGATAAGTAAATGGTGTCTCACCAAAATCTTTTCTTTAATGTTTTTATTTTGACCTCAAACTGCTAAATTCAACTCACCAAAATAGATAACAACTCTCACGAGACAGCCTCAGCAATGCATGGCGAAACCTTTTCTATCCATATTTCGATCTCAATATTACACCTCAGAAATTCATTATTACTTGTTACCTCCAAGATTATCATAATAAATATTTTTAATATTATTTTTTTGAAAATTTAATTTCAATTATTCCATACAATGAAAGAGTTTTCTTTTCATGGACTCTGAATAATTGATAATTAATTATAATAGTGTGATATAAATTTTATATCAATTATGATAAAACTAAATGATTTTTACTGATATAGTAATCTATAATGAGATGCTAGTGTAAAAATTACTTATATTGTCAGTGTATTTAATTATATTTATAATAAAATTATTTTATTACATATATTACAATTTTTTAATGTTCTTAAACAATTAAGGTGGGAATAAAACTTTTCATTTTAACAAAAATAAAATAAAATGTTTTTCAAAAGTAAAAGATTCTGAAAAATATTTATAAGTGACAATAAAATTTTCTCTCCTTAATTTCGGAAGAAAGATTTTCTTATAATTGAATGTAATTATCATATTAAAAAATTTTAAATAGTGTTTAAATGTTTTTATAATTTTTTTAAAACATTATTGAGAATCTTATTCTTAAAATAATATATTTCTTTTTCTAAAAGATAAAAGGGGATAGTTTAATTGAGAATGACCATATTTCTTATATCAAATACCGCCTAAAAATGTTGCAGATATTTCTATTTTAAAAAAATATTATCTCATATAAAAGTTATTCTTGAATTTTTTAAAAAAAAACACCTAACAATCAGAAAATTTTACGAAGACAAAATTTAAATTTAAAACTAACAGTAAAACTACTTATCTTGTGATATTATGATTTTTAGGATAAAAAGATTTGAATAAAAAAACTCTCATATTGCTCCCAACGCTGAGTCGAGGGCCCCACATAACTCTCTCCCTCTCAGAACCGCTTCATCGATCGTATCTAATCTTATTATCTATAGCGTGCCACATTCACTACCTACTTTTATATTTTTATAATTTCATGCTCCACTCTTATCATCTTTATAATTTGTTAAATTTAAAATTAAAATAAAAGATTTCAGGAAGAAAAAGAGCACATAGACGCAAACACTCACTTCTCTTTTTCTACGATTCATCTAAACTTTCCTTAAACCATTGCGTCTTTCTGATCGAAGTCAAAACACACCCAAAAAGAAATCCCTTTCTCCTTCGCTCTCTTCCAAGAGAGTGGTTTTTGTGCAAGAACCAAGTTTCTTAAGCACCCGGTATCTGTCATCACAGTGCAACATTACGTAGACACTACTACGAACTACATAGGTAGATTAAGATTTTGTCACATAGAATCTGCTATTTTTTCTGATTAATTTGCGGAGGTCCAAATTTCCATAAATATCGCCTTTTTTTTTCTGTTCTTTTTTGTTTAGAGAAAAAAAGATCAGAGGGAGAAAAAGGGTTCTTTCTGAGGTTTTGGTCTATAACGCCAGAATCTGAAACACCAACACAAGAATACAAACATAGGACGTTTGTTGTCATTCACGAACGTGTGCTTATGTGTTGGTTTCTGGTTTCTGTTGTTACCGTACCCCTCCCAATCCCAAGCATATCCTCTTCCCTGCCGAATATTAACCCAATCCAACCTTGCCAAAATGGGACACCCCATAAAAGAATAATAATAAATTTACAAACTTTTAAATCTATAATATTTGATTCTTGATAATCTTGCATAAAAAATCACCCTTTTCACCCCTTCATCATTGCTGTGTTCAGGGATCAAGGCAACAGCATCTAAGTGATTTCTGAGAAAGAAGCATCAAGATATTGTGCCGTTGACATTGGTCTCAACACAGTGCTGTCTACCACGATCACATGAATAAAACCCGATTTTGAGTCGTGGGTGATTGCTGGATTCGGTGTTTGGTTCTATTTTGGGATCTGGGTGTGTTGTTTTGTGGAGATGACCATGAAGTTGGGGTCACTAGATCAGTGGAGGAATTACTTTGGGTCAGCGAATTGCGATATATTTGACATAATTGACCATGCCATCATGGTGGCAGCTTCGGATTGCCCCAAGGAGTTTAGAGTGAGAAGGGATGCGATTGCGGAGAGGTTGTTCTCTTGTAGGTTGACTCGTTGTTTGGGGTGTGACCGTGTGGAGTTGGCTGTGTCTGGGGATTGCCAGAATGTAAATGGTGATGATGATGATGGTGATGACGATGGAGGTTGCAAGAGTGGTTTTGAAAGACATGGGGCTGAATTTGAAGCAGGGGCAAGCAAAGAAAGCAAGGCTAATAGTTGTGGAGATATGGGCGTGAACCGTGTTAGCAATTATAGCTTTGGGGAAGCTGAAGCATTGACTGATGAGATTGAAGAACAGTCTCAGTATTTTGAAGAGATTTTGAGGATCAGAGAAATTCTGCGTAACCGTGAAGATGCGGTATATCCTCTCTCTCTCTCTCTCTCTCTCTGTACTTGGTGTTGCAATTTACTTTAATATTTAATGGAGGGTTTTAAAAGGGAAGGTTTTTGACTTTATGAGGTGCTTTGTTAGAAAGAAATGTGATTTTTGTTGGATGGCATTTTGATTTTTGTTTGATGATTTGAGTTGTTTTGTTTCCTATGGTTCTTGATCATGTTGTTCTGTTTCATGTTGCAACAGTCTGAGTCTGCGTTATTTGATTCATTGAGGATGCTTCAGCTGATGGAACTCACCGTGGACATTCTAAAGGTTTGAATTGAATCTTTCCTTGTTACTACTCACTCACTCGATGTTCCTACCATCTCTTCTGTCTTTTGGGCAATTTGGTCTTGCCTGTCCAATGCCCTTTTTAGCGAGTCTTCTAATTATGAAAATTTAACTTTGACAGGCAACTGAGATTGGCAAGGCTGTGAATCCCCTCCGAAAGCATGGATCAAAGGACATTCGTCAACTCGCACGAACTCTCATCGAGTATGAATTAGTTTTTCCTCGATGTTTGTTTGTCATCCATGTATCATTTTGTTAATTGGTTTGTTTTATAGTAAGTAGGTGAGCCTGTTTATCTTCAGCTACATGGATCAACGAAATGGCTTGTAATCAGTTTCTTTTATTCCAATTTTTGTTTTGCTATTCTAGAAGTGTGTGTTTGTGTGTGTGAGAGAGAGGGAGAGAGTGAAGGTCAATATAATTCAGTTTGTCTTTGTATGTCTCTTAGTTAATTTCACATGAGAAGCTTTTATTTTTAGTTAGAAGGATCTTTAGATAGGTGAATGGCACATATACATACACAATTAAAAGTTCCCTTTATATCATACTTATGCTAGGTAGCACATCTCATCTACTCAAGATTCAGCTATTATTGTTTTGATTCGTCTTAAGTTGAGATGGAGAATTGGTTCAATTTGTTAACTTGTGTACTGAACAATCTGCATTCCTTTTTTCTTATTTTGCAGTGGCTGGAAGGAAATGGTAGATGAATGGGTCAAGGCTACAACTATTACAGTTGCAGGTGGAAATTTTTATCTGCCTCCATGTAGTTACAATTGGAATCATCTTGCTGCTATATTCTCCATTCTAAAAATTATTTCATGGTTTAAAATGGCTTTATTAAATGTTTGTAGGCTCAGAAGGCACGCCAGATTCAGTAAATCCATCTGTTGTTGATGATGAGGAAGAGGGACTACCATCGCCTCCTATGGATGAAGGGGCTTTCTTTGTAGCTCAAACTGGCTCAATAGAACTGTCACAGGTATATATTTGCTTGTCCATTTCCCCCTTTCTCTTTACCTTTTCAGGATTTGATAGTAAGAAACTGACTTATAGTTGTCTCTGTTGAATGTCACATATCTGGATGATGCAAAAGTTCTTTGATGGCATGGATGACGATGATGGAAGTAAGTGGAGCTTAAATTTCTTATGCTTTCGATTTACAGTTCTCTAGTTGAATTCCACTGGTCTTAGATTGATGATTATAAATGTGGAATGTTTTTTCAGATCCTCCACAAAGTGTGCAATTGAACAAGAACTATGACAACAGAAGAAAGCCAGCTATGGACAGTCACGTTAAAGAAAAGAGGAACTCGCATGCTTCCAATGAGATGACCGTGACTACCAAGGACAGTAGGAGTCAGCAAGCAAAGAAAAATGATGCTCCTGCGAAGCTAAATAAACCCGTAACTGCTGATTCTGGCCCCGGCAGACCACCAAAATCAAATATGCAGAGAAAATCTGTGGAGCCAAAGATGCAACAAAAAGTAGAGAACAGTTCAATCACAAAGAGGCCTCCCATTGTTCAGCAAGATGTAAGGAAAATTCTCTTTGTGCATCAAATTTGTAGGTTTGATTTGAGGCCTCCCTGACTTTGACTTCTTTTCTATCAGAAATCCAAGTATTCAGATGATGATGCTGTCGAAGTGAAGCTAGAAGCCACTAAGAGGAGACTTCACGAGAGTTATCAACAAGCTGAAAATGGTTTGTCATTCCTTTTCCAAAATCTTTTTTTATACTCTTATGTCCTACTTGATTTTTATGCTGTCAAGTGTCCAGTAGTTTCTACATTCCTAGAGAATCTTTTACACCAAATTCAATGCCCTTTAAGTGTCAGATTTGGTTAATAAAGTTTGGGACAATAAAGTGGAATTTTGTGTTATGCACATTCCTGATTAGTTCCTAATTAATTGATGAAAATGGCATTTGATTCTTACTTGCAGCTAAGAAGCAGAGAACAATACAAGTTATGGAAATAAATGATCTCCCAAAGCAAGGGATGGTCCACAGAAATTCACATTTCAAGCCTGGATATCACAATAGACACTGGGCTAATTCATGGAGATAAACCTACTTATGGATTGAAGATTGATCATCCCCTTGACTATAGAAAATAACAAATCCATTATCCATTCACCATTTGGACTTGGATAGAGCTATTCTGATTGGGAGGAAACGAGTTCACAACATTGTTTATTTCACAAGTTATAGGCTTTTAGTACATAGGAATTTTGTTAATCCAACATTGGATTTGAAAGAGGATTCTAACTTGGCACTTTACTGCTGACTTGGTTACATAATGATTGTCTATAGAAATCTTGATTGTTTCGGGACAATTTTCTTTTGTCACATAGGATTTACACTAGGCTCTCATATAACTCAGTAAATACCTTCTGAATTTGCCTGGCACAACCTCAATGGTCTTGTGTAAACTCTTAGATGTGATTTATCTTTAATAACATTCAATTGATATTTTTCAATTCCTTTTGTTATTTTTAGCATTCAATTTTATAGCATGGATTTTAGCATAGATGGATGAGTTGGGATCAAAATTCAGAACATATGATAAAGGACACGGAGGAAGCTAATTTCCTAAAGGGGTTTGACAAAAAAGAAAAAAAATTACAGCACTCGTATTTGTTTACTATTAAATTTAATTTATTATTAATATAATTTATATTTATGATTTTTAAGTTTTAATCATACTTTCATCCATGCTAACTAAAATTTGGTCCAAGTCAAATCAAATCTTTTGTTCTTCTTTATGGGGTTTGGTTTGATAGTAGAATAGCATATATGAATAAGAACGAAGAAAGAGACTTTTGATGAATAGCATTGGACAATTTGGCATGGTTAAATATTCCACGGTCTACACCATTTAAAAAAATGGAAAATGGATGGTATGAATATGATTATGACTATGACTCAGAAAGAGAGAGAACGTGCAAAAGTTGGGAGGATTATTTTGGTTGTCGGCTTGACTTTCTTTGTTCTTTTTTTCTCCATCTTTTTTAGTTCTTTTGTTTTTACTAACCAAAATTTATTGTGATTTGCGTGTATCACAAAACTCAACAACGTTATGCTAATGCCATACAACAATAACAATAGCTGTCCATTTTGACCACATCTCTTTCTTTCTATTTTCCTTCCCTTCTTTATTTTTAAGATTCTCTCCATTGTTTACACTAAATTTTCTGTCACGCCGCCTCATCCACTGCCTCCAACAAAATGTTTCCTGTTTGACGGTTTTCTATTTCTTTTAATATTTTATCATCGTAAACACATTTTATTCTCTCTTGGAATTAGTTACTAATTATCATTCCATGTACAATCTACGATTATATAATTTTTTTCTTTGAGTTAATTTTTCGGGTGTTTTTTCCTATAAAAGTAGAAATAGAAAATGAGAGTTTAACTCATGTAAAATTTCGCTCCATTTTTTAACTTCTTAAAAAATATTAGAATAAAAAATAATTTTAGAGGAATACATAAAATAACTTTTTATTATTATTATTAAAAAAGAACTTTTGAATAAGATAACTCGAAGATCTTTGGTACTTTACTTTAAACAATGTTAGCTTTTTCTCACTTTTAATCTTTTTCTCCGAACACAACTTGGAAATTAAATAACAAATTCGGAGGTCTTGACGTTACCTTAGCAAGCAGCAATGGCACAAAGGTGAGGTGTGGTAAAGCAAAGAGCATAAGTCGTACTTGATTGTTTTGAGCGATTCAACGATGGACGTTGATTACTGACCAAAAACAAAAACGATGAACGTTGATCCTCATGGTCTTCTCTATCGATGTCAACAAAAAATGTTTTTTTATTTTATTTTTATTTTTATTTTTGTTACATATGTGTTTTGATTAGTGCATGGAATTATGCAAATTTTACCGTAGTAGTGGGTTTATATCAGGATCAAATTTAGGTGTAGTTTTGTAGGGTTTTTTTTTTTAAAATTAAAGTTAAAATTCTATTAAGATATATTAAACTCTAATTTTAATTAAAAATACCTTAAAAATGGTACTCAAAGTTTTCCTTTAATAAAAACTTTAAAACTAATCCTGGCTTCGCCCCTGATTATAAGGGTTTAAAATAAAATTTAAAAAAGGCAAAGTTATCATATTTATTTAACTTTATTTTCAAAGTATTAATTTTAAATTTAATATTAAATTATTTTTTAACATTTCAAAAAGTCGGATCAAATTTAGGTTAATTTTTAGTTTATTTAAGGACCATTAATGACCTTTAAGTTTTAAATAGATATGTTATTATAGTATTATTTATCACCATGAAGGTCATAATATATATATATATATATATATATATATATATATAAAAAGTTAAAATTCTAAAGTAATTAAAAGATTGGTATCGCACTATTTTGATAACAAAAAATATTGATAATATTTATTTAATTCAAATCAATTTTTTACTATACATAAACCACTGAAATATGCAAATTAACTTGCATAAAATATTGATAAATTTAATGTTTTATTAAACCACGTTGATAAAAACACCTGTGAAGGACTTTTTCTTATAAATTTTAAGAGCTGTGACTACACGCTAGCTGAGTTAGAATTCAATTAGTCGCCTAAATTAATATTTAATTCTTACGTATACGTAAACATTTATAGAACGATGGCGTGGACTTTTAACTTTTTAATATAGAACAAGGTAATAACAATTTAGGTAAAAATAATTAATTTTTACGCATTAAATACTATATAAGTTTTAATTTTTTTAAATATTTTAAATCATCAATAACAAATTCTGTAAAATAAGTAGAGTGAATCAGCAACTTAACTAAATTCTTAGTATTAGTGTACATCCTAATTTAGTTTTTAAATTTATTTATATTCACAGGAATAAGATTTTCTTACATTAGTGTAGGTCAAAAAATTATTATATTTGATCTGAATCTTTCATTTAATTTATATTTAAAAAGTTATAATTTATTACTTTATTTCCTAATAGATATAAATTAAATAAAAGACTCAAATTAAATAATTTTTTTCAAAAATTTATACTAGTATAAGAAATTTTTTTTTCATATATATATTATTTTGTATGAAACACATATTTCAACTACTACAGTTACTATTATTATTAATAAGAGTATTACTACTTTTATCAAAGTCAATAAAATGAATTAATTCAATTAAGTCAACTTAAATTTGTTAAATAAGATATAATATTCATATTAAAATTTTGTTTAAATATTTCAACTTGATTTAATTGAACTCAATATAAGTTAAGTTCAGTAAAAATCTTTAAAAAGATTGAGCTTTTGGTAGAATTAGTTTATTTTTTAAAATACAAATTAAATCAAACTAAGGGTTTGTCCCACTAAAACCTATAGCTGCAACGTGAATGATTTGGTTTAGAATTTGTTTCCGTTATGACAAAAATTAAATGTTCAGTTTCAATTTTTACTTAAATGAATTGAAATTTGTTTAAACAAATTTTATAAAAAAAACGTAAAAATGTGTAAAATTTGTTTAAGTATATATATTTTTCACTTAAACAAATATCAATAAGAGTTGAAGCAACGTTATGTATGAGTATTAACCTCTTAATAGGTAAAATTATGTCCTTTAATAAATATTTCCCGTAGTGTACTACAATTGTGAACCTCATTCCTGTATAAACCGAGCAACACACTTTTTCATAACAAATATAATAAAAAAAATAAAAGCACACGAGTATCAACCCATGTTACAACTATAACCACATTAACCCCATCTGCTAGTCCTCACAATCAATACAAGTACACTAGAGTTACCAAAGGTTACAAGCACTAAACTTATTAAACTGACACAAATGAACCACAAATACCTTGTGTTCAAAAGCTTTCACTTGCACTTCACGTATAGCACTTCATGCTCAGCACCCAAACGCTTAACTAGGTATAAAATGAGAGAATTGACATTGTCTTTTTCTTCTTGCTTCTCATACAACCACAACAAGAGTACTAAATGTAGTAAAAACCAACGACAGAAAAGTAAATATCAAAAACACTCTGATTAAGAGAGAAAATCTTAAATTGAAAGAAGTCTTATTACATTCCTCTACATACGAGTCACATGGGTTTCAACCCGTACATTATGGTGCCATGTCTGAAAAGAAAATAAGGCAATATTACTCATGTTAATACTTGCTACTCCAAAAAAAGATATAATTATAAGAACTTTGTACTTATTTAAGTGATTTATTTTCTATAAAGTTATTTTCACAACTTAATTTCATAGCTGTTGTTTAGACCTACTCTCTCTGTATCGAATACCAAAAATGTATCCCTTGACCTAATCATTTCTGCGGCTACTGTTATTTCTTATTTTGTTTGCTACACGTATTTCATAATTTTCTTGATTGCCTGTTTTTTTAGGTGAAGTCCTGTGTGTCTTCGTTCACTGATTCTTCCTTTTTCATTTTTTCTTCTCCGCTCATTCCCACTCACTTCAAAAGTACTTTCGCTTGTCTTCCCAGTTCCCAAGTGTGAACTGTTATTGGCCGCATTTGGAGTGAAAAGAACTATGAAAACTCACTTTCTCTTCCAACTCTGCTCCATTTGACACTTGGAAGATTGCAAAGGCACACAGCGAGTGTCACACATCAGAAATTTTAAATATAAAATTTTAACTAAAAATTATATTATTTTCACAATTTTTTTAAATAGTGATATTTATTATATGATATTGTTATTTTTTACAAAATATTATTATTTTTTACTCTAATAAATAGTATCAATAAAATTAAATATTAATAATAAATATAATTTCTAGTATATTTTAATTTACATTTGAATTAGTATAGATTCATGTAAACTTAATATTATTAATTATAATTTTTGTTTAAATTTATGACCACAAATTTTTAACATATTTTTAATCACACATTTTTTATTTTCATTTTTATTATCAAAAGTTGAAATATTTCTTATTTTAATTTAAATCACTCAAATTAATAAAAAAACACTAATAGCATAAATATTATATTATTAATATATTGAGGAAAAAATATGTAAATATTAACAAAGAAAATATATATAAAAAAAATTTACCCAAACTCAAATAAGTTAAAAACAATAATAATAACAGAAATAACATAAAAAGTTCTATAACGACTACCTTTTTTTATTTAGAGGGTATAAGTATATTTTATTAAAAACAAATTGGAACGAATAATATCATATGAATGATAAAACTGATTCTTTCAATATTTAATATAACTATATTTATTGAAATTTAAATTCAATATCACATATATTTAAGATATATTTTTAATTACTTATCATACATTATAAAAATTAAAACAAAATGTTAGTCGAAAAGCTGCTCCCAATGGTTGGAACGTGCATCCACTATCCACCATTTGATGATTCACAAATTTAATTGAGTTAAGAGGCTGTTATTAGCGGAGTCCAAACGTGTTACTTGTGGTAATTTATCCAATATAAGCAATGTCCGAAG